CCTAAGCCCAGGAGTTGGAGGTTGCTGTGAGCTGTGTGATGCCCCGGCACTCTACCGAGGGTGACAAAGTGAGACTCTGTCTCTACCAAAAAATGATGATAATAATAATAATAACAATAATAACAACGCTTCTAGATAGTTACCATCTGCCTTCATTCTGTAGATGACTAAAACACAGAGATTAAATAACTCACTCTATGTCACAGAGCTAATAACCATTGTGCCTTGCTGGCTCTCTGTTATTATCTGCCACTGTTTATTTAAGTGTAAGTGATTTATTTAAATGTGGACTGTCCACAGCATCTCTCTCACTGTACATGGAACGCTAATTTGGGACACGGTAAATACATCTGCTATTTTAGTGATCTTTCATATTGGCAAGAGGCATCTGTAGGGGAGGCCTCTTTTTTGGTTGTTATTGAAAAAGAAAAAGAGAAGTACATTCTATTCAAGATGCTCTTTTCAGTTGACAAGTAGATGAGAACGAAGTCAGACCACTGATTTTTCACAAAAGGAGCAGTCATCTTGTAATACTGGTGATAACTCCTTGGGTAGCTTTGTTGTTCTATCGCCAGATTCAGGTTTGTTTTGCCTGTGCTTGGTTTGTGTCTAGATTTTGGTGGGTGAATCTAGTTCACTCATTGAAGGTATCTTTAATCCACCCAGTTTCCTAATCACTGTGATTTCTGCCCTGCAGTGAGTTTTGAAGGATGCACTGGTCGACCAAGGACGGTCTATTCTTCTGACGACTCCCGATTCAAAGTGGGCACAGACGGTGAGATCACAGTCAAACGGCCTGTACAGCTTCATAATCCAGAGATCAGTTTTCAGGTCCATGCCTGGGACTCCACTGGCAGGAAGTTTTCCACCAAAGTTACCCTGAAGGCAGTGGGACACCACCGCAGCCACCACCACAGCCATCACCGTCATGTACGTTGGAGCATTTCTCACAAGTTCACTATTGGTTTAGTTTGCTGTCTAATCCAGGTTTGACATTTTGGGCTGAATGATTTTTTCTTGTGGGGGTTGTCCCGTGTACTATAGCAACGGGCCCCAGCCTTTTTGGCACCAGGGACTAGTTTCATAGAAGGCAATTTCTCTACAGATGGGAGCAGTGTGGGCATTAGATTTTCATAGGAGTGTGCAAATAGTTACCTTGCATGGGCATTTACGGTAGGGTTCGCACTTTTGTATCTGATTCTTTCCACCTTCCGACAGGAGGCAGAGCTCAGGCAGTGATGCAGGTAATGGGGGGAGGCTGTAAATACAGATGAAGCTTTGCTCACCCACCACTCATCTCCTGTTGAGTGGCCTCATGCCTAACAGGCCACAGAGCAGTACCAGTCCATGGCACGGGGGTTGGGGACCACAGCCCTATAGGACATCACTGGCATCCCTGGCTTTGACACTAGTAGCAGCTCTGCCAGTTGTGGCAACCAAAACTATCTCTATGTACTGCCAGTGGCCCCTGGGTGGGGGTTAATCACCTCAAGTTGAGAACTGTTGATCTAACTGAACTAATTCTTGGTGGGTCTTTGGGTTATTGTTGCGTTGTGGGGATTGGGTAGCAGAGAGTAATGGGTAAGAGCCTGGACACTGTCTGGAATTGAATCTCAGCCCTGTCATTTACCACCTGAATAACCTCGGAGGAGATACTTAACCTGTCTGTGCTTGAATGTCCTTATCTGTAAAAGGGAGGTGAGAATGAGAACCGAAAGAACTAGCACATGTGAACTGCTAAAAATATGTGAGGCGTAAAATGAATCTCAGTAATTGTCAGTGTTTACCACTCCCCTCCTGGAGGAAGAATGAACAGAGTTGATTCTGTGATCATTTTAGTCTTCATGTTTACAGTGGGAAGGGGCTCAACAAAGACGTATAAGACCCAGTGGGAGGCTTTTGCTCCTTGGCCCATGACCTGCACAGGCTCCTTCCCCATTGTATTTGTAGTGCCCAGCCTTAGGTCTGGAATGAAAGGTGTATGTCTGTCTAGATTCCTGGCAAGAATGTTTCTGAGGGTTGTTGCCAAAGCCAAATGCCTTTGCCAGTTTCCAAATAGCTCCCTTGGTGCTTCCTACCAAAATGTGTCTCTGGAGGATATTCTAACTGTATCCTGCTCACTGCCCTAGAAGTGCAGAATGTGACATAAGTGACGAGGCGTTTTAAAGTTGGCTCCTATTTTTTTCCCCGAAGACTCTTGAGATTCTTGGAAGAGATTCTTGGAACATAACAGTTCTCCTGATAGATCTGATTTTTCTCCCTGGTGTAATTAGACCAGAAAAACAAGGAACTTAGTACTGTAGAACTTTATTAACACAGCCCTCTAACTCAAGTCTCTAACTGATCATCATTCAAGGGAATAAGTTTAGCACAGTGAGTTCTTTCTGGGCCGCTCTGTGTGGAAGCCTCTTATGACCAAAAGACAGTTTTGAATTTGGTTCTTCAATTTTTCCTCTTCATTTCTGCCAACTTGGCCTTTGCCTCCATATCTGCTATATCAGGATTGGGTTCAAGTACATATTATATACAACCCCAAGTTACAGTGATTCATGTAAAATACTCTCAAGTTAAGAGGTCTAAGGGTAAGTTGTGCCCTGTATAGAGACTTCACAGTTGTCAAGAGCCCAGGTTCCCTCTCTCCTTTCTGCCTGCCACCCTTAGCACATGGCTTCCGGCTTCAAGAATAGCTCATGATCCAGCTATTTTTAGAGTTGAGGTCTCTCTCTGGCTCAGGCCGGTCTCGAACCTGTGAGCTCAGGCAATCTACCCACCTCAGCCTCCCAGAGTGCTAGGATTACAGGCGTGAGCCCCTGGACTGGGCCTGACTCAGTGTCTTCTAAGTCACCATCATTGTCTGGGCACTTGCTATGTTTAGGCACTATTCTCAGTGCTTTATATGCAATACTAACATCTCATTTAATACTTCCGAGAGTTCTATGATGTAGGTACTAACATTATCCCCCTTTTAGACATTAGGAAACTATAGTACAGAGAAGTTAAGTAATCCGCCCTGGACAATGAGGTGCCATGGTGAGCATTTCAAGCCTGCCTAGCTCCAGAGCTTGCCTTTGGAGACAAACACAAGGGTTCGGAGGGCAGAGAATGTGTAGGGGTGTGTGTGTGTGTGTGTGTGTGTGTGTATCCACACGTGGCCAGTGTGTGGGATTAGGAAAGGGGTTTGTGATGAAACCTTTCCGGCATCTTCAATCTAAAAAAAAGCCAGGAAATAGGGCTTAAGTCAAACTTGGCAAACAGTGATCAATAACTATAAGTTAGGGCTGGGCACAGTGGCTCATGAGTCATCCTAGTGCTCTGGGAGGCCTAGGCTCTGGATTGCTTGAGCTCAGGAGTCCAAGACCAGCCTGAGCAAGAGAAAGACCCTGTCTCTAAAACCTAGCCAGGTGCCTGTAGTCTCAGCTACTTGGGAGGCTGAGGCCAGAGGTTCACTCAAACCTAAGAGTTTGAGGGCAACAGAATGAGACTCTGTCTCCAAAAAAGAAACACACACATAACAACAAAAACCCTGTAAGTTAGTATTCTTCTGTGGTGGATGAGAAATGGAATTTTCCTCCAGAAACTTTATTATGTTACCAGTAATCACTTTAAAACACTTAAACAATTTAGAATGTTTTCCTTTCATCTTCATCTCTTTTATTTCCCTGCATGTATGTAAGGTTGTCTTTATCGCACATGGAAACTGTTCAATACAAGTCTCAAAGGGTGATTTTGGTTCCTAAACCAAACAAACCCAGCAGCTTCTGTAAGAACAAATGGGAGACCAGATAGATACAATGACACAATGAGACTAAAAGTTTTTTTTGTTTGTTTGTTTGTTTGTTTTTGCAGTTTTTGGCCGGGGCTAGGTTTGAACCCACCACCTCTAGCATATGGGGCTGGTGCCCTACTCCTTGAGCCACAGGCATTGCCCTGAGACTAAAAGATTTGTATTGATTACGGAGTAGTTCTTTTTTTTTTTTTTTGAGACGGAGCCTCAAGCTATCCCCCTGGGTAGAGGGCCATGGCATCACAGCTCACAGCAACCTCCAACTCCTGGGCTCAAGCGAGTCTCCTGCCTCAGCCTCCCAAGTAGCTGGGACTACAGGCGCCCGCCACAACGCCTGGCCATTTTTTTGGTTGCAGCCATCATTGTTGTTTGGCGGGCCCGGGCTGGGGATTCGAACCCGCTACCTTAGGTGTATGTGGCTGGCGCCTTAGCCGCTTGAGCCACAGGCGCCGAGCCCGGAGTAGTTCTTAGTAGCAATTCCCCAAATGTACTCACTTGGCTGATAACTCCATGTTGGGGACCTGTATCCCTAGAAAAAACATAAAAACAGGCTGAAAACACCTGAATATTGACTTGTTGAATAAGGTATTAAGTCATCTGAATGCAGTGTTGTTACTGAAAATGACAGATTGGCCAGGCGCAGTGGCTCATGCCTATGATCCTAGCACTTGGAGAAGCTGAGGCAGGAGAATCCCTTGAGGCCAAGATTTTGAAACCAGCCTGGGCAATAGGGAAACCCATCTCATAAAAAAATAAAGAAGACAGCCAGGCATAGTGATGAGCACCTATGCTTTTTTGTTTTATTTTATTATTTTTTTGAGACAGAGTTTCGCTATGTTGCTCTTGGTAGAGTGCAGTGGCCTCACAGCTCACAGCAACCTCAAACTCTTGGGTTTAAGTGATTCTCTTGCCTCAGCCTCCCAAGTAACTGGGACTACAGGTGTTTACCACGGCGCCTGGCTATTTTTTGGTTGCAGTTGTCGTTGTTTATCTGGCCCAGGCTGGGTTCAAACCTGCCACCCTCAGTATATGTGGCTGGCACCATAACCACTGTGCTATGGGCACTGAGCCTGATGAGCACCTGTAGTCCCAGCTACTCAGGAGGTTGAGGCAAGAGGATCACTGGAACTCAGCGGATTGAGGTTGCAGTGAGCTAATGATGATGTTGCTGGACTCAGCTTGGGTGACAGAGCAAGGCCCTGTCTCAGGAAAAAAAAAGTTATGAAGGCTTGAAATAATTTGTGTATTATAATTTACAAACCCAAAATTGTTCATGTGTAATGATTACGTGAACTCTGGACTCTAAAAAGGATAAAAGGAGAATTTGGTCTTGATTACATGGCACGGGGTATATCGGGTTTTGTTTTGGGTGTTCATTTTGGAGGGTGTATATAATTTGTCATTGATAGGAGAATGTGTCATTAAGTTAAAAGTCATGCACTGACTGCCCTCCAAAGGCTGTGCTCACTGACAGCTAAAGTATCTCTCCTGAATTATCTCATTTTGTTCTTCATCTCTTTTATTTTAGGACTCTTCCTCTGGAGCCCACGTGGAAGTGCTCACATTTCCTGGCTCCCACCAGGGTCTCAGGAGACAGAAGAGAGACTGGGTTATCCCCCCCATCAGTTGCCCAGAAAATGAAAGAGGCCCCTTCCCTAAAGACCTGGTTCAGGTAAAAGAAATTCTCTATTTCTGTGGGAGAAATTTGGTAGAGAAGGACTGAGGAAAGAAAGGAAAAAAAACCCAAAAACAACACCCGCTATTGGGTGTTTGCTAATTCTGTTTCTTTCCTCTTATTTTCAGATCAAATCCAACAGGGACAAAGAAACCAAGGTTTTCTATAGCATCACTGGTCCAGGAGCCGATTCCCCCCCTGTTGGTGTGTTCATTATTGAAAGAGAAACAGGATGGCTGAAGGTGACACAACCTCTAGATCGAGAAAATATTGCCAAGTACATCGTGAGTATCTCTCTGAAGCTTGTTGGTAATGGGGTAGCATATATCCAGAATTTTCTGTTCAGGCCATGTTGGATCCCCAGATCAGAGGCTTTGGACGATGTGAGGAGTTTAACTTGACACCTCCTGACCTGTTGCTAAGGAGAAATGACAGGAGAACCTGGGACAATTTAGGGGTTGTTAATTTTTTCCTTGTTAGGGAAAAGGGAAGAGTCCTTATGCATCATGCGCATGTTTAGACCCCAGGTGTCACCCCCGATCCCTGGGCCTGGGAGCCCCTTTCCTAAAGGATGAGAACGTGATTATGTAGGGAAGCAAAACCCGTTTCTGGGGCTGGGCAGCAGCATGAGCTCAGGGAAGCCAGGAGATAATGTATCGAACACCAAATTCAGATATACCTGGCAGAAACATCAGACTTGGGTAGACAGAGCAGGTCTCACCTGCGTGAAGTAAGTCAGAGATGTTTAAGCCTCCACCTTTCTCTCTAGGCCTGCTGCCCCAGTCCTCATATGGGAAGCGGGAGGCTTGACCTGGTGGGCGTGTTCTCCAGCCCCTGGGTCTCACCTTGTCGTGATCTCCTCAAAGCAGCCCTAGAAGCAGCACATGTGTGAGAAAAGCTCTCCTCTCGGGAACTCAGAGTAGGAAGGAGTGGAGGCCAAGTAGAGCCCCCTCTGCTCTGCCAGACCCTTTCTCCCTCCTCTTTCTCATCCAGGCTTAAGTCATTCTCACTTGGCTCTTTCAGCTCTTCTCTCATGCTGTGTCATCGAACGGGAAAGCAGTTGAGGACCCAATGGAGATTTTGATCGCGGTGACAGATCAGAATGACAACAAGCCCGAGTTCACCCAGGGGATCTTTAGGGGATCTGTCATGGAGGGTGCTCTTCCAGGTATATATAGTCATGAGGAGCTGAGGAACAACCTTTCTGGTTAAGAAGCAGATCATTGCTGGTACCTTAAACCTCTATACAACCTTCCGTGAACACATTCTTTTCTCTCCTCCACAGGGAAACCATTGCCCTGACTTTGGTGGTAGTGATTCTCTTTCTCTTCTTTATCTTTTACCCTTGGTGCATTAACCCCTGGGTATTAACTTTTGGGGGGTGGGTGGGAGTGGGGAACAGAGTATCATTCAGTCACCCTGGGGCTATATGCAGCTGCATCACAGCTCACAGCAACCTCAAACTCTTGGGCTCAAGCGATCCTCTTCTTCAGTTGCCAGAGTAGCTGGGACTACAGGTGCTCTCCATAATGCCCGGCTAATTTTTCTATTTTTGGTAGAAGTGGAGTCTTGCTCTTGCTCAGGTTGGTCTCAAACTCCTGAGCTCAAGCAATTCACCCACCTTGGCCTTGAAGAGTCCTAGGATTATAGGCGTGAGCCACCATGCCCGGTGATACTAACTTACTAGTGTCACCTTTTTTCAAACTTTATATGCAGAGAATTATATTACATATGTATATTTCTATGATCTCTTTCATTCAATTTTATATGCATATGGTTCTTCAGTGTGGTTGCCTGTAGCAGTAGGGCACTCATTTTGATTGCTGAATATTATGTATTCTTTTGCATGACTACTTTAATATTTATATAAAATAGTTTGTCCATTTCACTATTGATGAAAATTGAGGTTGCTATTATGAATAGCGTTCTCAGAACATTCTCAAGTCTGTCTTTTGGTGCAAATATTGTACATAAGAATTTCTCTAAGATATGTATATATGTATCCATAAATAGCAGATTGCTCATTTGTTGGGTATGTGCGGGTTCAATTTTACTGAATGGTGACAAAGTTTTCCAAGGTGGTCCAACCAGTTTCTACTCCCACCAATAATATATATCCAGAATTGTTAGACTTTTTAGTATCTGCCAATCTGTTGAATGTGCAGTTTGAGACTGCATTTCTGTAACTACCAATAGGCTAAGCATCTTATCACATGTCATATGTTTCCCAGGCATTTGAGTCTCTTCTTTATGACTTGTATAGCCATGTTTTTTGCCCTTGTTTTTTGTCAGGCCAGTTGTGCTTTTATCTATTGATTCTTTTACTTTTCCTTCTTTCTTTTTTTTGAGACAGAGTCTCAGTCTATTGCCCCAGGCTAGAGTACTATGGTGTCAGCCTAGCTCACTGCAACCTCAAACTCCTGGATTCAAGTCATCCTCTTGCCTCAGCCTCCCAATAGCTGGGACTAAAGGCACTTGTCACAATGCTTGGCTAATTTTTCTATTTTTAGTAGATGGGATCTTGCTCTTGTTTGCTGATGTCAAACTCCTGAGCTTAAGCAATACTCCCGCCTGGGCCTCTCAGAGTGGTAGAATTACAGGTGTGAACCACTGCATCTGGCCTGATGATTCTTCTTCCTTTTTTTGAATGTATATAACAGTTGTTCCTATTTATTCTTTTTTTTTTTTTT